GGAAGGGGGGGGGGGGGGGGGGTGAAGAGAGAGGTGTAGAAGATGATACAGGGAAATGCCTTTTTCTTTTTTCAGGTATAACCCAAGCTAGAGCTATAGGGAGAGCCAAAAATCCTGAATTAGCACTGCACTGTGTTTTGCTTAAATGTAATTTTCAAGTTTTTTTTTTTTTAATCATGACAGATTTACATCCAAAAGCTGGATACTATGAATATGCATAAAGAAACTTAAACAAAAGAAAGCAGCACAAACCATTTTAAAGTCTTCCAAAGTTAGCAGATAAGAACTTGCATTTTAATCTACCTGTACTTTCACAATTCAAAAGAAAATGTAAACAGCTGAGAACCAGATAGGGGAAAGAACATACCAGTTTTGAAAGACAAAGACTGAGTAGCCTAGAAACCAATTGTATTGGCCAAAGCACTTTGATTCTAAGACTTAGGTAGTTGCTTCCCAGTCAGCGTAGCTTCCTCCCATCATTTACAGCTCTATTTAAAAATTAATGTTTTGTACAAACTGTTAATTTTACTTTACCATTTCTGCTATGGCTCTTAGTGCATCTATGTCACCCAGTTTAGCTGCAGCACAAGCCAAAGGTGGAATTAATGCATCTCTTACGGCTTCTAACTCCTGAGAAACAAACAAAATTAAACATTTAATATCAGCCTCGCCTCTAATGTGATTGATGTCCAAGTCATAAAAACACTGCCCTTTCTTTCATGTAAAGTTTCCAAATTAGTCATTTGGTTATTTAAAGCTGGTAGCATTTAGTTCTTGGAAGGAAAGAAGTCTCATGTTTATTTTACATTTTGTGGGTCTCACATCCATGAAGATTTATATTCCTCCCTGGCAACACCACAATTACCTGATATCTATATATACCATTTAAGGTGCATGCACTAATTACCATCTCCGTACTGCAATAGTTACACATCAGTACAGTAAGAGAAACAGCACTAGTAGGAGTTGGAACAGACCATATAGTCCAGTCTCCTCAAGACTGGATCAACTTTATTCATGTGACTCCTCAGATATTTGTATAACCTGTACTTCCAAACCTCCACTGACAAGTCCCATAGGCCCCCTAAATATCCTCCCATTTCTCACGCTTACTAAAGAAGAACCATACATTCAGTATTCATTAGCTACTGAAAATCCCATCTTCCCTGAAACTTAGCCAAGAGAAAAGCAAGTACTTGCATCTTACAACCAATACTGTATTTTCTGGTTTTCCAATTGGGAAGGACTAATATTAAACACCACACATTACACTTGTGTAGTGCTTCCTTAGTATCAGCCTTCTATGATTTCATGTGCAATTAAGCTGTTTTACCCATTATTATTTAGATTGCTCGAAACTGTCAATCCATTTGACCACAAAAATACAAAACACTTTTTCATATCATTGATACCCTGAATTAGAGCAACCGTCTGAGGCTTGTTATTGCAACCAGTCAGCCAAGAAAATAAACTTAATATGGGGCTACAAAGAGGGGGAGAAAAAAAGTTAATATGTTTTTAATTAAAAACATTTTAATGTTATGCTTGTCATTGTGTCCTTTCTCCCTAACCCAACTGGTTAGTTGGGACACTCAGTACTAAAAAAAAAAAAAAAAAAATTAATATAAAAGCTCCAATGTTCCATTTTTCTTTCAGCTTTGCTGTTCATCTTTAAGCTAGGTTCATTTAACTGAGTTTACAGCTTTACATGAGGTCAGTTGTAAATATTTAAGTGTATACCTCCTTGCTGCTGATACTTAGAGATTTGGCAATCACTTGAATAAACTTGCTATCTCTCAGAGAGATCTTGGCTCCTGTGGGTACAACAGTCATTTCTCCTCTTAGATTTTCACTCAGCATCTGAAAAGCAAGCAATCAAATCCTTTGTTAGCAGAGGAAAAATATGGTAGTAGTCTAATAAAAAAACCTTAGGATCAAGTTAGAAAATTGTTTGGAGGAATTATGGAAACTAATTGAATGCAGACAAAAGATTAAAGAAATAGTTACTGTCTCATGAAGATTGCAAGTTTAAAAAGACAAAGGGGGGGGGGGAAGGGACGGGCAAATAAAACTTTCTTCCAAAGCAAAGAAACCAAAATAAGCACATAACAAAACACCCCAATTTTTAGAGTATGCAGACAAAAGTTCCCTAGTGGGATAAGCTGCAGCCTACTTAAAAACACAAAGATAGTGAGTAATTAGCAGAGTGAGGCTGAAGACCAGAATATTCTGAAATGCTGCCTTTTGCCAGCATTCTCAAACCTCAGTACTCCTACACAGACTGTATATGTAGGCCTCAAAACAAAGCCCAGTGCTGCCTGTGGACGGTCATGTATTTCAATGGATTTTCAAACAGCTCCATTAGCCCTGATTTTGTTAAAATTTGGCCATAAAGCCAGCTTTGAATGCCGAGGGTCTACAGTAGTACTAGTCATTCAATATTAAAGCAGGTGTGTAACAGTTTGCAGGGTGGGTGCATCTGATATCACCAGGAAAAAAAAACCCAAACCAAACCAAAAAAAGGTCAGCCAATTTGCGTGTAGAAAGTGCTTGAATATGGCAATAAAGAAATGAAAATACTCCAAAAGACAGGTTCTGGGAAACCTCGAGAACAGAGAGAGAAGCCAGTCATTAAGAAAAAGCAACTGGTTTCCTCAATTCTGACAATTTTACATACTGGCACTCTTTCACAAAATGTTGCTGATGCAGCTATAAAGCACGTAGTTATTTCAATTAGAATTTTAAAAAGCAGGACTGTGAAAGTTTGCAAGAAACAGATGTGATGTTGGAAGGAGGAATGCCCCAGGTTTACTTATGTCTAGGCATGCCCTTTATTAAAAAAAAAAACAAACTCCAAGCGCTGACAACACTGTAGCCGTCTGCTGGAAGAGTCCCATATGCATGCAACTCTGAGGATACCAACTGCTTTGGCGCACTTTTAGAGTTTGACAGGTTGAGATCATTGCTTTGCACAGGTAACCTTAGCAATTGGCACCTGTGCTAAATGCACCCAGTGCAAAGCCCTACGTGCCTTAGTCAGTCCTACCAGCTCTGCAGCCATTTGCATGTGTCTGGGGGCACATTCCTTGCTTCTTTGTGTTGAAAGAGAATCCTAAAATAACCACGCCAGCTTCAGGAGAGCTTCCGTCTCTTGGGAGACTATTGTTTGGTGATATGTTTAGCTGAAGATATTGCCACAGACAACATATTTCCAGGCTTTCTTCTTCTCCTGGTCTCTACCACTCATTCCTGCCCAGGCAATGCAGCAAGCTGCATTCTTAGTTGTGCCAACACAATTGTTTGTGGGTCTGTACAATGAGTCAAATGAGGAAACTGATCATGCTTAACTCAAAGAAATTGCAAAAGTTATTTTGTTTTTCACACCATATAAAGGAGGTCCCAGCACCACCACACAAACTGTGTAGCACGTTCCAAAGGGCAGCACATGAAGATGCAGGAGTACCTTGTGTCAGTGTTACCTAAAACGTCCTATCACCGAGTCCTCACCTAAGTAAGTCAGCTATCTCACCTCAGCAAACTGAATCTAAAATTAAGTTTTAACTCACACACCTAGGCAGGAAGCCAGCTAGGAAAGTTTCTCCTGTCCCAGGTCAAATAATCCTCTGTGCAAGAAGATGAAAGTCTGCGTTAAAAAAAAAAATCAAAACCAGCCTAGTATATATATGTTCCAGGGCCAGTGAGTGTACCAAAGAGGCATCAGTGAAGAGTCTGGGTTTCTAAAGTGTATATACACAAACACATGCAATACCACTACTCTTCACACAGTGTTATGTCGCCTGTCAAGCATGTTCTTGCACAGAGTATGTTCCTGCCATCCTCACTGAAGAAACACATAGCTCCTCCTCCTCTCATTTTTCAGAGCCAGGGCTTGCTTTAGCAAACAGCCAAACGCTCAGAGCCTGAAACTGTTTCTAAGGACAGTTAAGTGGTACTTCCAGCTACCCCACTTCTGATCAAAGGTACCCAAATATGTTTATCTCAACAGCTGCTACTGGTTGGAAGATATTGAGCATGAAATAGTGATCAAATTTGTTTCAGTTTTAATAAAAACAAAACACCATCATAAGATACACATGTGCATGCAGTGCTTAAGTCTAGAGAACGACTCATCATGATGTCATCTCCCAAAGTGTCAGGATTATGATTTCATGGCATACAAGCATAGAAACACATGCATTCCTGCAGACTGCTGCTCCCCTATCTAATTCAGAGCTGTACGTTCCTTGTATAAAAGAAACATGATATGTAACTATATAACTTGAGGAAAAAAGCCTTGGTTAAACACCAATGAACAGTAAGAACATTGTTAAATGGGTTATGATTTTAAAATCAGTTACAATTGGTTCTTGGAATAATCCTCTATTTTTTATATATTTATAAAGTGTACTTCCTCTTAGAGAAACAAAATCTAACACTGTCATGAGTAATGCTGTAAAGGAAGAGGCTGTAGGCAATATTTATTTTCAGAATTAGCTTTGTGTGAATGAGTCTCGGATGAAATCTTTTCCACACTAAGATTAATGACAAGATCTTTGCTGACTTCAGTAGGGTTGGGATTCTGTCTCCCCTATGAATTTCCACATATGGGTTTTTAGTACAGAAATGTCCAATGTAGACTACTACTGTTTAAAGATAGCATTTTTATCACTCGGTCATGGTCTTCACCTGACTTATGCAGAGAATTCTTTTCTCTCCCAATCTACATACATCCAGTTGTCTAACAGTATTTTCCTTAAGGAAAAAAAAACAAACCACGTGATGTTCACATTATGGCTTTGGAACCAATTGCTTTTAAATGCAAGAGAGAAGCTCAAGGCATTCAGCTAAGCAGAAGTTAGCACAGTTGATGAGAAAGTGAAAGCCTTTCAAGGTCACACTGAAATATTTACCTGCCTCTTCTCCTCCCAGCTAAGCTTACTCTTGCTGAGCGTGTATGACAGTTTAGTTAGGGCTGCCTCTGGTGTCATATCACCTCCAGGAATTACTCCAACATCAGCGAGAGTCTGAATAAAAAGGAATAATGACTCCAATTAGCATAGCATTCAGAAATACCTGCGTGTACAGAAGATGTACATGAATGACGAGTAGCTACACAGAATACAGTGTGCAGCTGTGCCTCCACTCCCTTGCTCCTCCTACTGCCACTGTAATTTTTGTAATTTTAGTTATCAAATACCAAGCAAATACTAGAGCCAGCTGAATAAAGACGACTTTTACTTTAAATTCCTTTTCATGCAATAACATTGAAGAATTCAACCAAATGCTTGCCACGGTCACTTACTATGCTAAAAGGGAAAGGTTACAGGTCTGTATCAGCTATCTGCAGAGTTGTCAGATTCCCTTTATTGAAAAGCTGCAGTTACTCTGTTTTAACCCAGTGGCATTTTGAACATTGCCAAGTAGGCTGTTCTCACACAGACATATTTACCATTCTTTTATGGGGCACTGCTTTGGATGAATTCCAGCACTACAGTGTGCTGCTCACAGCAGGAGTGTTTTCAGACCCTTTCAGGCTGCGCTAGCAGTTTATGATTTAGAACGTACAACTAAAATATGTAATTTACACAGTTTTGACAAGAACAACTGAAAAAGATGACCTTTTAAACTTATCTTTCTGGTAGTTAAAAAAAATAAACTATCTGAACCAAAGCAAAGAGCAGAAAGATCTTTGCTGTGGTCAGCAAGCCCTGTAAGCGTACAGTGACCAAGACTGCAAAGACAAAGGAGATTTCAGATCTCTTGTCACTAAATTGTACCTGGACAAACAGTTGGGCTTCTCTAAACCACAGATCATCATCTTCGCCATAATGTGATGCCTCACAGTTAAGCATCTTGCAGTAGTTCTTTACACTGCATTTTACTTTTAAATATCTAGTATATAAACTTCAGATTTGAAACTTGTTGTGGCTTAACTAATATTTTTAGCAAGATACAGAGCCTTAATCAGCTCATTAACCACCTCCAAGAGACCCAGACTAACATTTTTAAAAGTCCCATGGGAAAACATATACAGAGAAGGTGAGAAATACTTTCTGTACTGCAGAGCTAGCCAAAGAACAGTTATGGCTTTTTCAGTGGGCTTGAGAAAGGGGAGGAGGAAGAGATTTCCCAGCTTCCTTCTTATACCTAAAGTCCCCTCAATTATAAGTTTCTGCTGTGTAGATGGATCAGAGGCCAGATATTCAGGTAATTAAAACAAACACTTCAAGGGAAACCAGGGACTCAGCTGACCCACCTGGCTAGCTTGAATGAGTGAAAAATGGCCTAGCCATTTGCAAAGACTTGTGAAAGGTTTTATTTAAAGAAAAATCAAAGTAAAGTTAACATTGCAGCAACTTTGCAGCATTCACCTATGATACTTCCTCCATTGAGCAGTTCCTTATGAAAAGGAGAAGGTAATGAAAGAACAAGGATGAAGTAATTTTGTAGGACTTGGCTCTGTCAGTATTCTCCTCAAAAGATGCCAAGAAAACAGGACAACGTCCATCAATAGATGCTGAAGCAATATAATACTTGCTCTATATAAACAGTGGAAGGCAGAAGTGAACATGTTTCCACACAGCCTTCTATGGTTCAGTAAGACCTGAGCAGAATCTTTCAATTCAGCATATCAACAGTCTGGATCAGAGTGCAAAAAGCCATTTTAGAGGTGTCTACTAATCTTTTAACCAGAGCATAGGAAAGGTTTTTTTCTTCCCTCCATACATTTTAGCCATTCATTTCAAGCAGAACACCAAATAAAAGCTAGGCTTCATTTTCATGTTGTTTTTCAAATATAAGTTTGGTGTCTTTTATTGACTTAAGTGCTTTCTACCTTCCATGTGAACTGTTCTGTATAATTCATATATTCCTATTATATTTGCTACAGAGCATGGGATCTTTGCAGAAGTTAATACTTCTCAAAACATCTCTATTAAGTTATGCAAAAGTTTTACCAACACCCAAATGACTGCCCATATCAGAAAATACTGAGTTTGGATACTGAAGAGGTGGATAGAAACTCTTACAATCTCCTTTCCTTTCTCCTCAAAACAGACTATGTGTTCTTGAAGCAAATATAATCTAAAGCTGTGTCAAAACTAATGTTAAAAGAGGCAGGTTTCAGCACCAGACTAGGAGTATCTAGATTTGTCTTACAGTTACTGAAGAGGCTGGCTCTGCCAGACAGGTGGTTGCTCCCAACAAAACCAGGTGTCTAAAACAGGGATGAGTCACCCTCTGGCAGTGCTTCTTGGCTATTTAATGGCTAGCCTTTTTATAAAGGCCAGTTAAACCAGCTTCCTTCACACAACCACATGCAACACAAACTCTTATATGGCTTTGAGCTCTTATTAGTCCCAGTGATGTCATGTCTTAATACACAATTAAGAAACTCACTATAAAATGCTCTGAATATTAACAGTCTCTACACAAAGCCTGCTTTAAGCTAGCCTTCATGGTTTAAACACAACTGATTTCCATTCTGCAAGACAGACACTTCCTTACATACTGTTCTCCAATCTCCAATCAAATAAAAACCTGAGATCTGGAATATTGCTTGGATTTGCAGGCTTTCTTGACGTTCTTATGTTGTAGCTAAGTTAATTGCTAGCCTATCATATACTACTTTATTTGATCATCTGACCCCTAAGCTAGCTTCTAGCTCAGTGGAATCCCTTTGGAGAGATACTACCAATCTAATGCAAGGTATCCTGGAGTGCTGCACACGACAGGAGCAAGCAATCACTAATTTGGGATTTGAGCTGACTTTTTCAACCATTCAGACTAGGAGTAACAGGGTCTTGTTTGCAGGTACATACTTAAATGCTTCCAGCTTAAGATTTCTCAGATATAGTTATTTTATGAGCAATATCTGGTTTTACACACTGGGACTACTAGCAGCATACAATAAAGTTGTATCAGTGGGATGTTTCTTTTAGACAGCAGTAGAGTCTGAAATCACTGCACAATGCTTACCTGCCCTGTTGCATAGACTGTTTTAACAGACCCTCGTAAGCACTGGGTACAGTTCAGAATGACTACTTTTCGTTCGGCTGCTTTCTTCAGTTCTTCCAGCAAGTCTTCTCTGTTGTTTGGGGCATTGCCACTTCCATAAGTTTCAAGAACGATGCCCTCAATTGGAGGCTGAAGAAACGCTTTTACCTGTTTAAAAACAAGACAGGGAAGAGAAAAAAGGTGTGTTTAAGTTGCGTTAAGATTTTCATGTATGGCACAGTTTTTAAAAATTATCTATTCCTGTTGTAGTCTTAGAGGCTCTCATACCTTACAGTCTTCTCATGCCCTTCTGTGCTCCCTATTTGCAGTAACTAGGACTGTAGAATAAGCTTTAAAAACCCAAGAATTTCACTCTCTAGCTTCCTTTAAAATTCCTAGAGGGATAGATTTTAAAATAAACTATTTTCTACAGTCATGACCCCAGGGTGAAAAAGGATGCTATTGTTCAAGTGCCATTAACAGGCTATACTGTTGCACCATGGTGGAACAAAAAGGTAGATTTACACATATGAAATAAATGTAGAATTATTAATTGAGACTAGAACCCCCAACCCCTGCCCAGATTTGTTACTTTAGCAAAGAGTTTTGTTAACAAAAATGTCTGCCTAACTATGAAAGAGAGCGTCTCACCTTTCAGGAAAGAACATTCTAACGAAGCCTGGAGTTTTTTAACTCAAAACCCAATTGATTTAACTCAAGGCAGAAAAAAAAAAAAAAGGCACTAATACATTCTGGGTCAATTGTTAATGAGGTAGCTATTGTGCCTCACTGTAAGAGAATGCCTAGCAAAGTCCTCTTCTCAGAAAGATGTATTTTAAACAACCTAGGTGTTTCCTTGCTGATCACGTATGCTAAATGCAATACGCTGTAAGCCCCCATGAGGCTAACTATGCAGTTGGAGTTTTATTGCAAATATACCACCCCTCTGCCTTTCCATCTGTTCATATTCACCTAAAAAGGATGGTAAGACAATTGAGGAGTGCTGCTTAAACTACTGTATTCAATTTAAGATCGTAACAGCCACAAAAGACTTGTCAATTTAATGGAAGTAGTATTAGACAGAAATTTAAAGACAAATCTACCTAAAACCACAGTTCTGCAAAATAATTTCTAAAGGCAAAAAAAATCCCACTTTTCATTTTCAGCTCTGTATGAATTCTGAGGGTCATGTTAACCATCAGTGTAAGATAAAATGAACCTTAAAAAAGAAGCATGAGTTGTAGAAATAGTCACTCCCCTCCACACACCATATTGTGTATTCTTTGACAAGACATCTATTAATATGCCTCAATATGCAGCAAAAGAGCATTTCCATGGTCACTGTAGCCTGCACCTCTCTAGAAAAGCACACTTAACCTATTTATGAGCCCTGATAAGTTAATTTTAACTTTCAGACAAAAGATGTTTGAAAAGCTTTTATCAATAGTTTATGGCATATGAAAATAGTCTTTGAATGTTCTGATATTAAAAAAAAAACATTTTTCAGAATATGACAGATCCTTTCCTTTCCCTCCAAAACCCTGACTGCTGCTACAAAGAATGCAGCTTCCCTACTTCAGCTAACTAATCAAATATATGAGCATCACTTCACCCACTTCCAAAATGAAGGGGTGACACTTACAGCAGCAGCGGTGATTCCTGGGAAGATTCGCAGAAGTCCAACATTCCTGTTCATATTGGTGTGAACTCGAAATTTCTTTTTGGTATTGGCTCTCCACACCGTTTCCCAGTTTACTGTTAAGAGAAATAGCCTTTTGAATTTAAGATAATATATTAAGTACTCTTGTAGCACTTCATACTTAGAACATCGTCTGTTTCTTATGTAGGGGATTCATGAAAGACAATGCATTTTGAAAAGAGGAAAGGAAGGCTCTTTCAAGACAGCAGCCATAGCAGCTGATCTAACACATCTTATTTATTAGGTGCCACAAAATATGTATTCAAGGCCACATCCAGGTGAGGCTCAACTGTGTTATATTTTAGCTTTAATTCCAAAATAGTCTAGGTTGGAAGACATATCGGTATTACTTGTCAATATTTCTAAGTTAGTGCCCTTCAGGGAGATATTTAACACATATGCTTGCTTCAATTTAATAGCATTTTATAGCAAAGACTTCCAAAATTGATATTTTAGTTCAATGACCATTAGCAAACAGGATGATCTATCAGACACAAAGCTGTATACCTCTATTACAACCTCTTCAAAAAAGAGGTCTGATAGCCGTGAAAAGCATCTGGGTACTAGATCTGATGGGTTCATGATGTTGAACATGCCCTGTTAGTGCCAACTCTGCCCATTCAGAGTGCTCAGAAAGCCTCAACCAACAGAGGGTCGTGCAGGTCCAGCATAGGTGAGATGTTCGCTTGTCACGCACTGACCTGAACTTCATTGTTATGTAGTTGGCCTGATACCAGCCTGGATTCATGTTTGGAAAACAGACCTTCATCTTCCCAGACATAAGAGATGACAAATGCAGTTAGTGTTGCCGCTAATCACCTCCAGAGTTTATTAGGTAGTTACTAATGATTAAATAAAATAGCAAGGATTCAATTAACTCCGATTATACATTTAGAGGCAGAAGCCAGCTGTTTAACTAATAGTTTGTTTGTGTTGCATTATTAGAAGCCAAGTCATGCATTATTGATTTCAAAATTTTACTACTTCAGTGTAGGAGCACAGCGTTGGTAGCACTGACAACTCCTACAAGGCAGTGGAAGAGGTTTACCAAACAGCAGCCAACAGCTCAGAGCATCATGCTTCAATGAAAGTTGACCATGCTGCAAAGCTACCAGTTTCACCATCATGATTTAAGCTTTTTAAATTTTGCAGAAACTCCCAAGCAGCAAGACAGATAAAAGATCTACGTGCATAATAGTGACTTGCTCTCAGCCATGCAGAGGGTTACTCACACCAATTACTGTTGCAATCTCTTGCAATCAGCAGACAGCCATTTGCAAAAAAATTCAGAGTACATTTGAAAGCTTCCATTGAAACCTACTCTATTGCCCCATTACCAGAAATACTAAGAACTAAACAATCCATTAAGTCAGAACAGAAAATAGCAGTCACCTGTAAGACTTTATGAACTCTCCCTTTCTGTCGTGGTGCCCTGTCAGCAACTAGAGCCTCTGTATGCTCTTTCTAAAAACATACCATATGTTGTTAAACAGGTCACAAGCAGTTGGCTTGGCATTATGTTTGTCCAGCCAGCCACACTTCAGCACGTGGATTCCTAATGCCCTGGGAATGGGAGAATAGAAATACACACCATTTCTACAGTTCCCTTCTTTGTGCTAAGCTGACCAGCATTGTTCTGAAACCACCTGGTTGGATTTAGTAGTTAGCCAAGTAGCATTCAAAGATCTCCATGAGCTTTCCAGAGCAAGTTAGAGACCTGCAGGAGGTACATGGGTGAGTGCAGAAAGTCATGCATCTGTTCTGCTTGAGGTTCATAGGCCTAGCTAACCACATTCACTCATGAGCACTGTGCTTTAAGAAGCAGCAGCGTTTAGCAATAAAAACAATCCTTTCAACCTTCTAACACACAGATTAATTCTTTAAAAGCAGCCTCCTCTATAAGAAGGGATGGCAATAAAACTGTATCAGAGCTTTCTTTCCTTTACAGTCCATAAGCTAGGAGTCCCTGCCAAAACTTCACAAATGCATACTACTAAGTTTGGCAACTATTAGCATCCCTAATGCCTGTAATGAACTTGGAAGAATGAACTGAGGAAACCTGCCTTGGCATGGATCACTAAAATACTGCCAAAAGTAGAAGACCAAGGAGAGAGATCAGAGGATAGATTCAGAAGTCAGACCTATACCAGGTCTATACCTGTACTCTTGGAGTATGCTCTACCAAATAACATATCATCGTCAAGATAAATGTAATGCACGCAGACATAGTACAGTGATGTAATTCCAAACTATATTAAAAAAAAGAACTAAAGATTGTCCCCGAGTTAACACTCTCTTGGTCATGAACCTTGTCAGCCTACAGAACGTGCTTGGTACTGCAGACTCCACAGATGTTAGTTTTCCATTAGACAAATGAGTCTAAAAGGCAGAACAAAAGGCAAGTGTGATGCAAGAGCCAAAACCAAACAAATATACATAAAAGCCTGACTTCATCTCAGATTTATTCAGAACTGTTTTAAGTGAGGCAGAGTGCCATGCAGGGGAAAAAAAAGTTTAGAACACACCCTTTGCATCCTCCATCTCAAAGATTACATCCCCCAAAAGGAAGAATATTTATGTCGCATAGCTAAGTTCAAGCATTTTCCTTGTACTGAATAAGCCAGCTGTCTTGCAGCCTGTAGTCATTCCACACAGCAATCTTCTTTGTTAAATTAAAAAAAAATTAAAAAAATAAAAATATCTTAGGAATCACTAACAGTTCTTAAGTAAGAAACTCATATACAAGCAAGTGAAGTACAAAAAGCTGTATATATCAGTGTTCATAGGAGTTTTTTATCCTATGGATAAGAGTGACTAATTAGGGATATTCAGTTTTGGCACAACACAGAAAACAGTAACCTGTTCTAACTTGGATGGGCCGTGCTTGTAGAGTTTAACTGATAGAGTGATATAATGTACTGCATTATGTAAATATGGATACAAAGCTGAGGAACAAATGTGAGCTAGCTACTGGTGTTGCACAGCAGAAAGAAAGTTTTTAAAGCAATGTACATAAAATAAAGAGGTAATGGCTATTTATATACTGTATCCAAAATGGCTTGGGATAGAAAAGATTGCATTATTCAAGGAGACTGCATTCAAGATATTAAGGCCTGTTGTTTATTCTTCCAAACAAAACCATCACATAAATAATACTCTTCTATTTCCAATCTCCCCCTCCCTACCAAACACTACAGCTTTTAAAATTACAGCTCAAAAAATACCCTTATCTTATTTATACTCACACACACACAGAGAACTATGGTGATAGAGTTAGTACAGAAAAAACTGAAAAAACATCAACCTGACTTAAAAAAGGAGAGAAGCAGCTCTACACAGTCTAGAAAGCAGCAAAACCCCCCTGTTGTTAAGCAGTGCCTATGCCACAGTGCAGGTTTCAACTTATAATGGGAGAACAGCAACTAAGAGCGACACCTCCCTTAGGAGTGGTGACTGAACTCCGAGTTATGAAATCAAACAAGAAATACAGCTTTTTGTGATTGCAGAGCTCCAGACAAACAGCAATGCTTTCTTCTCATCCTTCTCTGCAGGGCTACAGACGAGCCCTACCATTATATAAGCTGCCCTGGCATTCATTACAATTCATGGCAGCAGCCAAGGGGTGGGGAGTACAGGCTAACCTATGGGTGTAAATTCCTGAAGGCGGCAAACAAACATAGACCCCCTTTTTTGGCAGTTTGTTATAAAACAATTGACACACACCTTTTGAAATTAATATTTAAATTGAATGGTGTCATTGCAAGAATCAACATGCCTACGTATAAGGGGGGGGGACGGGACCAAAAGCACTTCAGTGAAGAGAGCTGGCATTTGCCTTAACACATAAATGACTTGGGCTTTTTACTATAAATAACCAGAACTGCCAACCAAGACACAGACTTGGCCAGTGACGAATAGCTTCTCTCTAATGAGACGGTGGAGAGACAAGCCCAAAAGTGCCTTTTAACCTTCTGGTGCTGCTGTACCACATCTGCATGCACAGTCACACAGGCTCTGTTCATCCCCCTACACAAGTTATGTTTCTCATCATACGGTCCTGTACATGTGCACCACTCCCAGAAGTTACATGCATGTGTGATGAAGAAAGTCCAGCCGTGGTAACAAAGCAAGTTTCATATTTGCTTCAGGACAATGAAGAACAGAGGAGAGTAATCAGTTATGAAATATACTGAGACTCTTCACACATTTCAAGTGAAGTAGTCCTCTTTGTCTCTCCTGTTTTCAAAATACGGGAGAAATAAGGCAAGGTCTTTTATTTGATAAGCTTTAAGATTTTAGAAATATTTTTGGTTATTTCTATATCGTCCATTTCATACAGAGATTTCCGATTCTGGTGCAAAAGTATTTCCCATCGGCATTGGGTTTCTTACACATCTCAGGAGTGGGCTAGAATTTTTCACTTCTTTCAGGCGTTTCTTGTACTAAATTGAAAAGTCTTCAGGAAGTTGACACGCTTGCTCATCTAAAACTGGGTAACGGGACTCTTAGGTGTTGCTAACACAGTTAAGGATGTGGCCAAGAACACAGCTAGTTGATGGGATCAGAAATCCACGGGGAGCCTCACCTTAAGAGGGAACGCGGTGAAAAATGGATATCAAAAACAAAGAAGAGAGCTACAGCTAGGTTAGGGAAGGGAAGAGGACTAAGCTTCTCCCTCTCTGGCTCTAAAGTAGATCTTTGCTTTTATATGGTATGCCTAGCCTCGAACAGCATGTCCACTCCTCATCCCTGCATACCAACCCATGATCCCATTACACTCCCCACTTCCTACATCCTCTCAGGTGTCCCCCCCTGCTTCTCTGGAATTTCCATTCCCAGCTTTGTTAGAACAGGAAAGCCTAAGGAAGAGTTTCTACACATGGTCTACTCCTCCTGGCATCTTCAGGCTGCTTTCCATAACGCTGAAGCAGCAAGAGTCAGCCCTGTCTCCAGGACGATTAAGACATATTATACAAAGTAATTTGAAAAAAAAAAAGTTAAAAGATGCTAGATTTGTTTGGTTTGTTTTTAAAAGCCCAAGTGGTTCCTTGTCTTCATGAAAGCTTCATATGAGGATTGTACAAGCAAACTCAAGGGAGACAGCAATGTTTCAAACAATTACTTTGGACAAAATAAAGCAGCACTAGTAGATTGCCCATACTATAAACTATGTTTTTTCAAAATGAAACAATCCTTCAATGCTGACACCGTCATCTTGGATAAATGATGCTACCCTAACTGGGTAATCAACTGAAACAAATAAAAATAGAGCCTATCACACCATTGGTTTTTAAATCAGAAATCCCCACTGATCTCAATGGGGCATTCTACTGAAAAGATAATGGGACCCAATATGGGCCAAGGGAAGTACTTAATAACTTTATCATTTTTCTACTATAGACAAGGAATCACAAAACAGTTCATTCAAATCTGAGAGAGAAATAGCATGCAATTTGCAGCTTGATTTCATTATTGATCAGTCAGTAAATGGAATTTATTTATACCCTATTTGATGCACTTCATAAAAACCCAAGAAAGAAGATTCTCCCCAATTTACTGCAACAATCAACTGACAGCATTTCTGTTGATTTCAGATACACTGTATTTGACACGGCACAGTAATACAACAATGGCAGACTCTACCTGAGAGATGTCTTACGGACCACTACAGTATTTCACAGGCTTCCTCAGTTTGTATCTGGCTGCTACAAACACTGCTTTGATCCTGAAACTTTGTTAACTAACTACCACTCATTAGGTGAAAGGGATAAGTTTATTTTTCCAAATTGCAGAATGTCTCTCTCTCTAGCAGTAGAAACCATTCAGAATGGCACGCTGCATGGCACAGGGCTAGATCTCCTACTGCCACTAACAGCACCTAGCAAAAGAATTCGGGAACCTCCTCCTATTCCTAGTTTTTTGTAATAATGGAGATTGTCACCAAGTCCTACTGCTTTTTAATATACCTAGCCAACCCAAAAGCAGCTCACATAACATGCTTTATTTTTTAAAACTGTCCTTCAGTATGTTTTTTGGCAACTCCTCATTTGGCTAGATTCCAAACATGTCTCTCTCCTCCCTCTCCAAAGAAAGGCTGCCATTTATCCAAGAAGAGACATCAATGTGTTAATGACTTTGCAAATGGGTCCTGAAATCTTCATGTAGTTTTTCCACTCCTTAAAAAACAGACAGACAGAAATTATAGGGAGCCTGAGTAAGTTTGGAGAAAAAAACTTCACACAGCACATACTCTAGGTCTGCTGTTTTCAGTGTGCTTGCAGTTTAGACAGGTCCTAAATATCCAGTAAAACATCTTACACAATGACATGCATCAAACAGACAATCCGTTGAAGCTGCAAGTACTCCGCCATGACTCTTTTGCCTGATTTCGGAGCCCAGCATGGTCATTAATGAGATTAAACTCTTTGTTCTTTCAGTCCTCACTCCCTCGTTTTTATCTTCAGAGCAAGCATTTTCATGACACAGGGGCAACATTCCCTCTGGTTAGTCTGGATCTTTAGTCAAAGTCAGTCTAGCTCACATCTATGTTCAATAGATAAATGCAGTTGAGTCACAAATTCTCAGTCTTACTAATATTTAAACAGTTTCAGAGCAGATAAAGTGGAATCAAGCTACAGGGCTTTGAAAGATATTTGAGTTTAAAAACAGCATTTCAACTACATAGGCACAGATTCTTTTCAGCTAGAGTTCTATTGCATGTGGCATAAATTACAAAGCTTAAAAGATGATGTTGCTTACTTGTAATATCAACCTCAGCATTTGCAAGTGGAGGCAGGTTAGGTGAGGAAAAGGCATTGAAACTCCCAGCATCCACCTTAGTCACCCTATTTCCCCTGTACAGTTTATTATAAAAATACAGGCACACCTGCAAGACAAGTAAAGAAACAGGTCTGTGAATAAGCCAGTAATTAAAAGATTCAGTAGATAAATACTGTAGTCCGTCCTTTATAAAGTGTTTTCTAAATCTTTAAAGCAACTCAGAGGCTAGTAGATGTTTACAACTCTTACTCTTTCAAAAAGAGCTGGCACATCTGTCACACATTGGTTTAAGAATTTAAGAACAAAACAAGTTAAGAGCTAACTAGTTTTGTAATCTTCTCATGAGGCACAGTCTAGGAGACAGCAAATTTGCCTGAGTCCACTTCAGAGACAGAGGAAAGAAACAGTGTGGACTTTTTAATAAGTTCATCAGTTTTATCTAAATTCAGAGTCCAAAACCTTAACAAAAGGCCTGCTGAAAATGAGGATAACTTTCAAAAGAGTTACCACACATAAATAATTAGGTTACTTCAAGTCCTTTAAAATTTGTCAATTGGAATTTGAAGAAAAAAGAGATACCTCAAAGTTGTTATCAGTTATGAAGATCTTGGACAGTCAGCTATTGCTGTTGTCTTACAAGAACTGGCTTTGGGAGCATGGCAGAAGTGAAATGAGGTGTAACTTGACCAGTTTTCTCCCTGATTTTTGGGCTGCACAGCACCAACATCTTTAAAGGCAGGGTGCTGAGACCATGGAGGTACTTCCATGTCCATTAGGTATATCATCCTCGACACTTCAGTCTTCAGGAACTAGAGCTAGAAGACACTCCTACCAGTTCTAGAGCAACTTTAGAACTTCAGAGTAACTTTCAGTTAAAAAACTGACTGACAAGTGTTTCAGATCCCACATAGTTGCAAGGGAACCTCCGATTTCAAGTCTGCTGCAAGCTACATTTCAGACTTGATAGTCTTTATAGATTGTATACAGGCAAAATGGGACACGACTCCTGAGAAAATGGCACATGCTTTGCCGTGCAAGTGCCTGTTACCTCAGCAGAATCCATTTATCTTTCTGTTTAAGTGCAATTCCTTACTGCCTACCGGATATTTTGAGTATGTAAGTATGTGTCCTGGCTAGAGGGAGAAAAGCAGCTTCTGAGACAGTCTTCACAGGCAAACAGACCTCAGGAATCACGAACTGCCCAGCAAAGAGCAGTGCCCCCAGAAGGTTGGCTCGGCCATCATTCTGCAACTCGTATATGGGCACCTAAAGAGCAGAGAATGAAATTACACCTTGTCCCTTATGTAAAGCCTACACAGCGGGGGGGGGGAGAGTCCCACTTATGCAATACAAATACATGAATAATTTATGTAACAATGATTTATGACAAATAAAGTTTCCTTCTTCATCCAACTATTTTAGACTGCAGCAGGTGGCAGGACTTCCCTCTGTGCTTAACAGACTTCTATAATTTAAGTGCTTAAAAGCCACTATAGAGATAATTCTAGTGTGATTAAGCAGATTGAAACACAGATTCAGGAAAAATATAAAAAACAGAAAGCAGGCATAGTTAAAGTGACTGAGCATGGGAGAAGTGATTGTACACAGAAAAAGCAACAGCCCCAGATTATACAGAACTGCCACTATGGGCTTCACAACAGCTCTCTTGCACCATCTTTCCTCATAGTATAGAAAAACTGAGCCAGCACGTTATTACCAACAGAAAAGGACAAGATTAAAAACAGAAATTTGGTCTGCTGAGCGATGATTTCCATGCCTTTTCAAATTGCCTCTTTATTAATAGAGAGGCAGAGTTCCTTTCAGCAATGAAAAAAAATCACATGCTCCATTGCTAGATCATATGTCAGGCAGATCTCCAAGCAATAAACCCAAAAAGAAAGTAAAACCTAGAATGTGATGTATCACAACTAGACTGTCCCATGTCAAGACAGTAAGTGGGAGCCTACTCCTTCCTAGACTTCTGTATTTTGACTTCAAATAGACCACATGTGAAAGGGAAGTTATGAGATGGGGGAGGGGAATTTTACAGTGCAATGTTTCATCTCTCCTTTGTGATTAGAGCTGTATTTTACGCTCAAGCAAGCTATTCTAGTAAGACAACCCCTCCCCCTCAGACAACATGCAAAGGGCTGATCTCCAGCTAAGAGACTGAAAATTAATAAATGTAGTCTTTAGAGGAAAGGAAACAGACCACGTTAGATGCTTTGTGGAACCAAAATGATCAAAAAATGCATCTAATGCTTAGAGATCATTTAAAAAATTATAAAGAATGCAACAATTAACATCAGACAGGATAACAACTGATGAAGTAAAAAGTAATAAGCTTCAGGGCTTTAAAAGAAAAAAAAAAAAAAAGACAGCTAACAACCAGCAGCCACCTGAGGCTGGAAAGATGCTTCTCATATAAACCGATTAATACACAATGGCCAATGACAGGCTCTTGTATCTTTCTCTGAAGCATCTGGCTCCAGCCATAATGAACTACTGGTCTGATTTGGTACAGAGTTGTAAAGTCATTAATGATAAAATTATGGGGCAGATCCTCAGCTGGTGAGCTTGCCAATTCTCACTAATTTCTATCAGCGTTGTGATCATTCAACCTGGCCAGAGGCCTGCCCTGCACTACTAAACTATACAGTAATAATCAGGATACTACCTAGTTTTGCATATAAAAAAAACAAAAATGAGGCTTCCAACTTCCACTTCTAATTAAGTCCATTACCTGAGATCCTGTCAGAACAACAGTTTTACCCAGATTCTCACACATGAAAGATAAGGCTGAAGCTGTATAGGCCATGGTATCAGTGCCGTGAAGGATCACAAAACCATCATACTTTTCATAGTGCTCCTGGAGATGGAGAGACGGTTTTCACATTTAGAGCAATGCACTGGCATCAGCAAGTGAGATACATATTGCATTACTTTCACTGATGCAAGCAACAACATAATACTTTAAAGGGTACTACACACATAATTCCTCCTAAAGTTATCCTGTGTTCAGTTTAAACACAATTAAGGGTTAATAGGACACTAAGCACTAGAGCCAATAATTCTAATTATGGAACAGTCAAAGAGATTCTTCTATGTATACATATTAATGCCGCATTTTTAAACCAGATGACTGCTAATTAAGAAAAGCTTAGCAATGGCTTTAAACAGGAATGTTAACATATGCAAATTAGTCGTATAGTCTGATTTCTTGTTGCTGCTTTTACTTTAGGGATTACACCATTTACAGGAACAGATTAGGCAAACCAAGGCTATCATAACATATAGAAAAAACAGTCCATTTAACCCGGGTGGCAGACAGGCAAATTGCCAGTGTAAGAGTGCCCTCTTCTGTTGAAAAGTCATCCTTTCTGCAGCAGTATGCGACTTCTGCAGCAGAAAGAGGTGAAGAGGCTTCTTACTCGTTAATGTACATACACTTGAAGGTTTTTGAGAAGTCCCTTAGACTGTCAGTCACGTACAGATGCAAAAAGGTACTTTATAACAACTTTAATCTACATACAATGCCACACAGGAGGGTTTTTTTTAATGCACAGCCATGAATTGCACGGTTCATCTTGTTGAAATAAAGTAATCCGCTGGCTTTTGGAGGAAAAAGGAATTGGTTCCTCTGTTTTAAGAGTGAGGCACATAGTAAACACTGTAGTGAGAGATACTGATGTCTCTGATGTAATTTGGTAACATAGAAAGGATTACACAGAAGTCTATGCAGATACATGAAGTGCCAGTGTGGGGAAAAAAGGGGGTTTGCCATAGAATTAAACAATTTAATTAAATTTAATTAAAATGCTACAGTAGGCACACACACTTGGCATCTCCTGATAATAAGGTCACCTCCAAACTCACCTGCAGATTTCTACTTGTCCTTTTGCTATTTCTTCACTGATACTTGTGTCTACATGTTGCTACCTACTAGAAGTTTCGGGGGATTTCTGCTTATCTTTAACAAGTTAGCCAGCAGAACAACAGCCAGTGTTGCAAGATCTTTCTGTAGGCCAAAAGCAAAAAGCTTTTGATGCAAAAAGCATGTTGTAGTTATTCACCAATGCAATAATAAGTAAGCTTCAAGAAGGGCTAAAGATCACAGAAATAGCCACTTGTCCTCTAACTCCATCAGTACGCTCATGAGTATTTTCAGCCTTCTGAACCTTATTAGATGCGAAAGAACATGGCTTGGTTTAAGCTTCGTAATGTAAAATATCAGGCTGGCAATAAAGGAGATATCCCACAGAAACATCTGGAATGTTTCAGTCTAGAAAGTCATCAGCACGTTACAGCTGTGCCAAGTGAGTGTCCAAGAAGAACACAAAGTGGCAGTGTCTATGCATAAGCCAGACAGGTGAAGTTGGTTTTTTTTTCCTCCCCTTCTCAGCACTTTTCACTTGGATCACATGAACTGGATATTTATACATACAGAGAAGCTGCATTCAGTGTACAGGAAAAACACTTTTTTTGGTAATAAAACTAATAGGTCATTAAGGAAGAAAAGTAAATTCTCTCCTGTTCAGCATGGGATTGCTGCTTTCTACTCTTGGCCCTGGGCTTTTCCCAGCTGCACCCCTGGTCCATCCTAGAGGCTCTCCACTTATACACCAGCTCCATCTCTTCTGTACCCTGGCAAGATGCATTTGATAGGAGGAGCATCATCCCTAGTTTGGTGGTTTCGGGATTAGAGGACCTAAAGGTGAAAGCCTGTTACCTGAATCTTCAGCACCAATACCTGCATTATTATACCATTTTCGTGCATTGGTACAGCTTGGTCAAAGAAGGAAATTTACACTATAAAGACCACTATCACAGAGCAAGCAGGAGTGGAAGAGCAACATCTTACTAGGCCCACGGGGTTATTTATTTCTAACAGCTATGTATGAATTCCTGGTGTGAATTATTTGAAGTGTTTTGCATTTCTACTTTCTTAAAAGCACACAGCTAAGTTCAGACACGGGGACAGGAGCAGAGAAATGCTGATTTTTTTTTAATCTAGAGAAGGATGTAATGACTTTATCTATACATGCAGAAATATCTAGGGCTTTAAACATTTTCTAGTGTGGGAAACCTAACCATGATCACATTTTTCCTACTGGCTGCAAAGCCAAAGCTAGTCAAGTCCATCTGTGTCCAGAGTAAGCAAGGCATAAAGACATGAAATTATTTTCTATGTCAATAGCCAATTATTAAGCTATTTGAACATTCAAATTATGTATAACCAAGCAACCTTCAGTTAAGTCACCTACACCTGAGGATTTTATTCAACGTTTTTGGACAGTGAATTTAAGTCAAGGTTTTAGAATATGTCAATCTACATATTACACACCCTATTTAATCATAGCTGCAATTTTCCCACTTTCTTGTATAGAGTTATGACATGGCTTATCATTGGAAGAACTTGTAACTTTAATGAGTTTGCAACATTTTCAAAACAAACAAAAAAAAAGGGCAAGCCTTGCAAGCACAGTACTTATTACTTTGCAAGTAACTAAGCAAGGTATATAACATTTACATTTTAAATAAAAAAAATATACACATACAGCCCTACTGAACTGTTTTATCTTGCTAAGTATACTAGACATACTGCTGGTTTTGTTTAAGCAACAAATGAATTCTTATCCTACACCATAGTACCTCAAGTTTCTTTGCAATTTTGGCCCAGTCCTCCGGCGTCATGTTGGAAGAATCAAGCAGCGGTGAGAGCTCCAGGATTGTGTAAAAAATTCTTTTGTTTTGCTTAGAGACACTATGAAGAAAGAGAATTAAAAAAAACAAAAAAACAAACCAACAACTTAGAGCTAATATCAGCTCATGACTTCTAATTTTTTCTCTAAATCAGTAGTTTTCACCCTTTTCCTCCCTATCCCCCAAGTCTATGGCAAAAAAATGGTCTTAAATTTGGAACATTAAGTTCCAAGTTTAGAAATTCATGGCTTAATGTGGTTTAAAGCACAAATCCCTAAATTTAATTTAATAATAAATATAATTTGGGAGGGGGAGAGGGGTTGATAAAACTAAAGACAGAAAAGAGGAACCCAGACTTACTGTAAGTTTGGAACTGAGTTCTAACAAAAGTCAATATGAAGCCTTAAGGTTTAAAAATGCTTCATAAGCTATTGAGAGGACTCTCTAAAACTCCCAAGGTTTACAGGAGGTCAACAGAAGAGTTGCAACAACTTTTTGATCCTTTGATAAATACAGATACCCTATAAACAGATACTCTTTCCTGACATAAAGGGTCTCTTCTCTTAAGAGTCTTATGACTGGGATTAATTTTTGCAGCCTTTAGAAGATCTACTCTTCTCAGTTTCTCTAACCTCATATTTCAGAAAAAACTCTTGGTTAGTTAAGATCTTCAAGCAAACTGTTGCCTTTGCCAGTAATAGGCTAACTTTGTAAAATCCCAGTCCCAGCCTATTAGGCCTGTTGTCACCTTGTTATGAAAGTTCGCTCTATGGTACCAGCTGTCTCTGGTTATGATGTGGAGTTTAAGCATGTGATAATAGCAAAGATCTTAAAATACTGGCATAGGTTCAAAACAGAGGCCTCAGGGCTATAAACAACTCACTGGTAATCAATTATTGGCCACTGAACAAGTGCAACCTTGACAGCTGGGAAAAAATCCTGTTCTAAATACAATGAAAACAAGACAAAGCATCTATGCAAGGGAAAAAACCCCAACCCAAAAATGAACAGTCAATCAATAGGATGAAGTACCTGTGGGGCTGAGGAATGTAACACTTTCAATCATCATGCAGTGTGTAGTCCAGCAGATGGAGACCAAAGATTAAGTGTCTAGACACTCAAACACCTTACAAAAGGTACACAATCCCAAATTTGGAGGGGACTTAAAGGCGATGATGGCTATGGAGTAACAGTGGGATTGTCCTAGCTCTAAGCGTGCTGTCTGCTCTCCCTGCTTCCCAGGGCCATGGGTCTCCCTTTCTCCACCTGCCTATCTCAAGAAATCTGACTCTTCAAAGAGCTCTGATTTGCCAGCCAAATGGACTGCATACAGAGCATCTGTTTTACCCCACAAAGCATGCTTATTTCTCCACATTAACTTTCTAACCTTTCAGAATAAAGTCAACTACATATATAAATTCAACTTGGCAGTTAAGATGTGCGGTAATAAAAGAACCCTACTTACTACCCTAATATTTTCTGCTACCTTTCTGAAGCTTGGAAGAGGATAGAATAACCACCGTTTTCACCCATTCTTATGTTAGTTGGAATATGTTCCTATTTAGCAATGCAGTGGCCAACAAGCAGCTAACAAAGAACTGCTAGCAGGCCAGCTCTGCCCTTCCTATTCGCTCTTCCAGGCAGAGCCATCTGGAACATGTTCAACAGGATCATCTTCAGAGCATTCTCAATGCTTTTCCATTGCCTGAGGACGATAGAAAGTTCCCTGCCAGTTGTAACTGTGATAGATACTTCAACATTTACACTGGAAGACAGTCATAGGCTATAGAAAAGACCAGGATACTGCATGGCTGCGTAAAACTTCCTGAAGGTGCTTAGAGCACAGAAAAGTTGATTACCTTCCCTCGGCATTCACTATAGTGTTTTGTTCCCACTCGCAATTCTTGTGTATATTTTCAACAATATAAAATATGCAAAACCAAGAGTCGATTATCAATTCATCAGCTAATAAAATCTGAAGACCCACTCTCCTTATGAGGCCTGTAAGACAGTTGTGTACAGCAGAGAGCACATTTAAAGAATGTGTAGTTTTCATTCATAACCAACTGACATACTGTACCTAAGAAGTTAGACTTCATATGAAAAATTACCTTGTTGGGTATCACACTTACACATGCTAAGAGTAACTTTGGAAGTCAGTTGAAAATCCATGAAAAGAAAGCTCCCCGAGGATGTGCTGTTTAAATAAAACATGACATACTGACACCAGAGACCAGCCTAGTCTACAACTTCTGATGCCTCTCGCTAAAAAGAGATTGTACCGTTCCTCTTGCATCAAGGTTATCACACAGATATACAAAGTTCACAAATTACTCCTATTTTCTCCCCTCAGAAACTCACAATGTTTCTCAACTGCCTAGTTAAAATATCACTCGGCTAGCACAAAAGAGAAAATGGCAAATTGCCATGACTAACCTCCAGAAACGGCACTCAGCAGTGCCAGAAAAACAAGACAAGACTGTTTTTTAAACCTCAGTTTTTGATGTAAATGATTATTTTAAGCTTTTTTGTTCTTCACAGAAAAGATGTGCCAGGAGAAGTATATTTAGGACTTAAATGGGTATATTAGTGTAGTTTTGTTATATTTCAAATCCCTTAAAGTATTTAGAAGTTATTCAGTTACAAGCACAGTATCGTAACAGAGCTCCATTTTTCTTAGTATAACCATCGTGTTTAACACAAACTGTATGTTCACGTCAATACTGCTCAACCAGGAGTTCATTTCTTTTCCCTTTACCCCTTTGCCTGCCATCTGCCTTTTAAGGGGTTCCTTTTAAAAGCTTTACACAAGATCTCAACACAAAATAGAAGGAAATTAATAAACCTTACGTTTCCTTTGTATGTCCTGATTTTCTCCTTAAAGATTAAAGAACATCCATTTTTACTCTTATGGCAAAACAGCTATAGTCCCATTTATTTTTGAATGACTGTGTAAAATCATCCTTTGTGCAAAGTTAATATGTTTACGGGGTACCGTCATTCATCACAGCTGGGGAATATCTCAAATTAGCATACTGCCCTCTAAATAAAACCTATAAGCTTATTAATTATTGCCCAACAGTTAAGAAGCAATGCAGATTAATTATAAGCCCATCGCTTATTATCATAATGTAGCATAAATTTGGGAAAGACAATCAGCTTTTAGGTTTTTTGTAAAAACAGAAGGCCTGCAGAATTAAAGCATGAGGCCTATGCACAGATGCATTAATTAGATGCTACTTTTTCAGACATATGTTGAAGATAATTCACACAAATCTGTATATACAGTTTTCTCAGTTTCTATAGAATATTTGTATGTTTGCACAGTAGCAAATTAATATCCAAAACAAGAAAAAAATGCAGGACTAAGCTGCCCAAAATGGTTACTTGTTGCCCAATTTAAAAGTTATTTCTCAAGCAGTTGTAAGACGCTTCATTGCAAATATATCAAAACAGACATTTTCTACCATGCTGGACATGGTAGGCTTTTTCCTTTTAAGTCAATATAAGCATTTCTGCTAATCTCATAATGGATTCTTCCCATTAGATGTTTGGAGATGCAATTATCTGAAAATTAACAAGATACTTCCTAACCCTTCCTCTCCCCAAAGAAAGTGTACTTACGGGAGCACCAATGTGTTCTCTGGAAATTCATGGAAGTTGTTCAGTTTTGTTTCCTGGGCATATGCCTCATCATGCAGCATTGGCATAGTTTTCAAGCTGCTTACTAATTTATTGGCCTCAGGAGCAAGTCCTTAAAGATAAAGAATAAAGGAAGTAAATAAAGGAGCAGAGATGGAAGGAAGCAAGTGGCACAGTAAGGACGCAAGTAAAGTTACACAGCTGTTTGCCCATCCTTCCAAAGTAAATTTAAACAGTCTATTGCCAGTTTAAGAACATGAAAACTGAATATAACCAATAAATCTCCATGCAGTTGTTCTCTCCTTGACTTGAAATAAATCAATCCTTTAATTAAGAGAAATAATGTTACAAATCTCCTCTATATGAAATATTTGTGTTTTACCTATTTTTAATTGTTGCTTGTGTGCAAATACCGATCAGCAGTAGGGGCAGGAAGACAATTTTTGCAACTGTAGCAAAAAGCTACCATTCTCTTTTACATTTGCCATAGCTATTCTCTACCTAGTGGCAGAAGACTTACAAAACACTGAGCATTATTTTGTACTATTGTCATGGTTTAACCCCAGCTGGCAACTAAGCACCACACAGCCACTCGCTCACCTCCCTCACAGTGGGATGGGCTAGAGAATCAGAAGGGTAAAAGTGAAAAAACTCATGGGCTGAGACAAAGACAGTTTAATAGGTAAAGCAAAAGCTGTGCATGCAAGCAAAGCAAAACAAGGAAATCATTCCCCACTTCCCATGGGCAGGCAGGTGTTCAGCCATCTCCAGGAAAGCAGGGCTCCACCACGGTTACTTGGGAAGACAAACACCGTAACTCTGAACATCCCCCCACTTCCTTCTTTTCCCCCCATCTTTATATGCTGAGCATGATGCCATATGGTCTGGAATATCCCTTTGGTCTGTTTGGGTCAGCTGTCCCGGCTGTGTCCCCTCCCAACTCCTTGTGCACCCCCAGCCTGCTCCCTGGTGGGGTGGGGTGAGGAGCAGAAAAGGCCTTGGCTCTGTGCAAGCACTGCTCAGCAGTAAGGAAAACATCTCTGAATTATCAACACTGTTTCCAGCACAAATCCAAAACATAGCCTCATACTAGCTACTATGAAGAAAATTAACTCTATCACAGCCAAAACCAGCACAACTATAATAAAGTTGTGATATTTTTACCTAAACTTCTTGGCCTACAGCAGTATTGGCACAAACAGCAAGGTACTGCTATGACTAGGTTGGAAAGCTGCACATTATGTCTCACCGTCAATGGCAATAGCACTTCCACAGAGAAAAAACCAACAACAAATAAAAGAGAACGCTAAAACAAACCCCACAGTAGGTATTGAGCACTGACAGATACAGACAAAGATCTATATATATACTGAGATAGTTAAGACTCTTCTAGGAAGCTGATGTTTCTCTAAGTGCTCTAATCACTCTCTTGAATAGGTACTTTGCATTAGCAGGTTTAGGACTGAACATCTCAATTGACAAAAGGTAGAGAAGGTGCATAAGCTACCAAATAGAAAAAGTTGAAAGTGGGGATGCATCTTAAGCTCTGTTCACTCTCTCCCTACCTGTGAGCAGGGGCCCTAAACCAGTTCGGGCTTAAACTAGCCAAAGTACATTTAGTGTTTGCTGGATCTGCAAGTGTCATGGTTGCAACCAGGTATTTCAAAGGGAATCTACATGCTATTCTCTATTAGCCAGAAAGACACCTAAATTTTTGATGTTACAATCCTCAGCATCATAGAGCTGAGTTCATTTGTGAATCTAACTTGCAACTCATCTCCCAATACCTAGTTTCAGGAATGACAGCAACAGTCCTGGCATCCAGAGTCAGAAGCCACCCTGTTTTTCTTAAGTCTGACTTTCTGAGATATTTTTCATTCAAGGAACTTCCATCAGAGGTAGTGCCATCTCGACTTCAAGATTCTACTGGCTTCGCTGTCCAGTTCAGTTTAATCTCAGTCAATGTGTTTTATACCACCTGTTCAGATGGCAAACAAGCTGTCAAGCCTCATTATTCTACTTCTGCTAGTCCTAGTTATTCCTAATTTGAGGCCAGGTAATTCTCTCTTACTTCCTAGTTCTTCTGTTTGTGTAAACACAATTCTCATGCAAGTTAGCATCTGTATTTTTTTTTTTGCTTCACCTTCAAACAGCAAAGTTTATTTAAAATACTCCAAAACAGAGACAGTATTTTCAATAGTATTTCTGTCTTTTTCCATTTACTTTCCAAACTGATAGAAGAATCCTTAAGAACTCCCTAATCTCCTTCTTGGCTTGCCTTAAATGAAGTAACAGGCCTCTTCATAGCCAACTTTCTCACAGGACAGCAACAGCATTTGAGTGGATTTGTTTGGACTCCTGCCGGAATGCTTTGTTTTTCAAAATATACTTAACATGCTTTCAAGCTCTGGATGTTTTGTTCATTCAGCTATAATCCCTGCTTTTCCTATTAAGGATGTTCCTAGCTTAGTCACAAATGGCCACTTATGCTGCGCTTGGGCATAGAGTCTTTTTGGCTCTGAAATGCAGCCCAGTTTCAAGTGTTTTCTGATTATTTTTCTGTTTGTCCAATCCTCATCTTACTCTGAATATTAACAATGGATTAGACTGTTTATTTTTGTATTTGCCCCAGGAACCAGAGAGCTGATACACATTAATATTCTTAAATCCCTTCTCTATAAGTGGCAGTTCCTCATCTCTTCTCTTAATCACAAGTCTGTCAGGATTTTTCTGTAATTGCTTACACTGAACTTAAGCCTTTTTTTAAGACATTCTGCAGATGTATCCAAGATGACCCACTTACAACCTGTGCAGTCCCCTAAATGCATCTACGTTTAGCAGTGTTTCTGCTTTACAGCTTCAAGAAGCAAACACGGGGGAACTCAAGTGCAACTGTTTTAAGAACACTTCTACTTTATTATGCATGGAAAACATCTTTTGTGAGCCAAGCTTGTTAACCAAGTATTTGAAGCAACTTCACCCCTGCAGAGAAGAGGCAGGCTGTGCAACTTGTCCAAACAGCTCTCATCAACTTCTGTCCTGCCCCTCTTTAGCTGGCCAACCCTGGCATCAAAAAGCGGACGGACAAAGGCAGAACAGCAAACAAGCAACTATGGCCGAGGAGAACAAGCATGGTTCTGTCTCATCTACAGTTGAAGAGTCTGCTTTTCACTCTGGTGCTGTAGATAACAGTTATAGCTACTTGCCAATCAAGATATCCTGTAACCTGTGCTGCAGCAGAGAACAAGGAGCTGAAAAAGTCTGATGCAGCTGTGTCAGTGGGGCTCTGCACCTAAGAAACCACAGGTGCTGGGGAGAAGGAGCATACTGTACATCAGCATGCTGAAGTCATCATCCCCAATCCTAATAAACTCTCCATGCTGAGGAATACAAAGGACGTCAATAAACCAGTTTTCATCTATAGGAATATCAATACAAATGGCACACGCATCTACAGTGCCAGATCCCAAAAGTAACAGCTACATTTTGCAAAGGCAGAGAAGCAGAAAGTGTTCTCCAAAGTATTCATTTCTGCAGCTGTAGCACTTGAAGCATTCAGAAGTGAGGTGCACAGGTCTCAAACAGAAAAAGGGTTGGACTACAGCAGCCAGTCTTTCGGCAGTCTAGCACGTCTAGAAAAAACTAAGTTACGCAGGCAGACTCTATTCCAAGATAAGTAATCTTTCTAAGGGGATTTAGCTTAGTTCTACTTGTATTTGTTGGGTGGTTCTTTTTCTTAATATTTCAGGTAAAAGCTAGGAAAAAGATCCAGCCCACAAGCCCAAGGAAAAGATCTTCCCGAAGGCACCAGCCAGGAGGTACATGAACACAAACTTGATGCAAAGATTAGTATCACAGTAACCTCACTGAGAAGTGCAGTAAGATTCTCTTTCTGAAATGAGCTACCAATAAGCCAAAAGAGGCTGTTGTAGGAGGAAACAAGTAGGAGGCAGTAGAAGGAAGAAATTTTAAAAATGCACTGAAATGGCTTATTTGACAGCAAAAACATGAACACGGAGAGAATCTGCAACTGAGTCTGGCTGTCACCCAACTCACACAAACAAAAACAGACTATCCATCCTCCGAAAATTAGTCCTGCTCAGGTAAACTGTAGGCATGCAGAAAGTCCAAGAAGTCCAAGACATGCTGGAGTTGTCACACGTGCACAGGTCAACTGCAGAACCTCTGCAGGAGGTTTACAATCAGATATCATGATGATAAATAATCACTCCATACATGCACAATGAGCCCAAGGAACATGATTGTATCAGTCTTGTACATGGGGGCAGTTTTACACAGGAATACATTCCTTGCAGAACACATTAGGCCTATCAAAAATATCTGAATTTAAAAATTAAAACACCTCCTCCCAGCAACTGGAAATGCCACAGAAAAGCTTGTAAGCCTAGACAGAAATTAGTTAGGTAGAAACCTAGCTTGATCCCTTCACTTTGAGCAGTTGCTGCTATGAAAGGTTTTGTGCAGCTCAGGGAAGCTACTTCTGTTTGCCTTGCTTGAAATAAAACACTTGTAGTTCTAGGTATGGTTGTAAACAGGCACTTTCTATACATTGATAAAAAAAGAAATGAGCCTCTATCGCTTTTTCCTTTGAAGCATGCTGCCTTTCCCATACTTTTTCACCAACTTCTGTCTGAACACTAAAGACTGCCAAATATTCTGAAATAGGTACTCTGGCTGCTCTGCTGCTAGAGCTGTGTATGAAAAGCAGGTTGAAAGCCTCACCAGGATATAGTGAGTCAGCATCACTGGATCATAACTGTTAGATTGTTTGCACATGCTTTAATGACTGACACTTCTTAAGCAAAAGGAAAAAAAATGGCATACAAGATGAGAAAAGGTTATAGAGTTCATTTATAAAAGAATGAGATGTGATTTTAAATTATTTGCTTAAAAGAGGTATTTCAGAAGCTGAGACAATAGAAGTAGGAAATTATTTTAGTATAAACAATGCAGACAGAGAGAGGAAAGTCACCACCTGTCATTTGAAATATAAATTTGGGGGTTTTTTTGTTTGTGTTTTTTGGGGGGGGGGGAAGGGGTTTGGGTTTTTGGGGGTTTTTTACAACTTACATTAAACACAAACATGACAGCCAGAAAGAAACAAAACAGAAAACCCCTTAAAGCATCTTCCCTACAATAATAAGGATCAGCCAGCCACCACCTTCTGAGAAGAAAGGATATGTATTAGAAAAAAAAATCTAGTCTAGAAAGCTCTGAGGTGAAGCTCCAAGTGTTTTAATGCTACAAATGAGTAGCTGAGATGGTGTTTCAGGCAGGGGCTTGAAATTCTGTAGTAGGAAACACAAGTACTCACGCTTCTGAATCTAGAGAGACACAGGCTCTGGAAGCCCTGGCATGCTCCACTGCCTCCCAAGTGAAGGAGGAAGGAAACTGAATAGATGTTCATCAAAACTGGCCTGCTGCCCTCTCCCCCCCAGCCCCATACGCTACCCTCTTTCCCTTTATACCAATGCTGGTAAATGCACATCCTTGCAGCAAGTCAGACCTGGCTGAAATCCGTTCTTTTCCCTGGACACATTAGCTGGCTGATGCTTCTGGCATCCCTTGGATCTGTGCCAACTGAGTGAGGGTCTAGTGGTGCTCAGGTGCCACTCCAGCCAGCTTCTGGATTGGGGGCCTGGGGAGGGGGGTAGTGGGGGGTGTTAGGTGAGTTTGGGCACCTACCTGCTGACATTTATGGGCACCTTAAAACACATAGCATATACCTGTAGGTACCCAAGAAGCTTTCAGGTGAAATGCAGGCACTATACTGAGACATCCGAGTTCAATTTTGGATTTAAACATTTTTCTGCTGTGTGGGAGGGGGTTTGACATGCCTAGCCTTTTCGTCAAGGTAAGTCTCACCCTCCTTTGGTAAGGTAAAGCAGAACTCTTCAATGGTTTCTTGAAAGAAGTCAAGACCTGGTAGGAGAGCAGCAGAAGTCTGCCTAGAGGCAGACGAGCACAGATGTTGCATCTGATCTCGCTCGTTATGCCACTTGGCAGCACGTATGCTGCCACACTTGCATCAGCTGCGTCTGTCAGGTCACCACTTGAAAATCCTTGACACGGCCACCACCCCCAAAAGCCCACGCTCTTCCCAGCGGGAATGCGAGGCACATGCTCTCCAGGTAGCCCAGGACGGTGACTCTTTTGGGGCTAAAAAAAGACTGCACGACTGGTACGATTAAGCTGGTTTCATTTTCAGCACGCGAAGGAGGGGAGAAAGGACTCACACTTCAGGAAGCACGTTGTCCTCTGCCAAAAGCCTGCTCTAACTAGCTGTGAGGCTCTCTTGTCAAAAGGATACCTGCCAGCTAAGCTGCCGAAACAACCAGCTGTTAGGAACAGGGGATCAGAAGACAGCACACACCCTTCTGGCGTTGCCCGTACCAGTTACGGGAAACCCGGGGATGCTGAACCGCACACCGCGCCAGGGAGAGCGCTCACAAAGCGAGGCTGTTCGTTAACGAAGCGGCAGCCTCTGCCTCAGCCTCCGCTCGCCCAGCGGCGCGTCCCCCAGCCCAGCGCCCTGCCCGCACCCCACACCGGGCCGGGTCCGCACCGAACCCTGAGGGGAGAGCCCGCCTCCGCCGCCCTGCTCCCCCCCCCGCCGCCCGGGGCCCCCTCACCCTTGACGTCCTGCACCATGCCGATGGTGCCGCCCGTGTTGATGACCAGCACCCTCGCCTCGCCCTTCGAGCCCCCGGCGGAGGCTGAGGGGCAGCCGGGGCGCTCCCGGGGGTGGGTGCCGGCCAGGGCTCTGCCCAGAGAGCGCGCCCCCGGGGGGGGCTGCCCCGCCGCCGCCGCCGCCTCCTCCATCCCGCTCCTGA